GCTTAAAGTAATCGTCAATTAAATGGCTTTGAATTAATTCTGCTTAAAGTAATCGTCAATTAAATATCTTCGATTAAATTTGCTCATATCAATCGTCAATTAAATATCTTCGATTAAATTTGCTCATATCAATCGTCAATTAAACGACTTTCGATTAATTCTGCTCAATTCAATTTTAATTAAATAATTTTTAATTACATTGTTTGTAATTAATTGTCAATTAAAGACGGAAATTAATTTTAAAAGTAATTAATTACTCGCAACCCTGCCTGAAAAAGGTACAGCAAGATAAATGAGCTTTTCGCTTTCTAGTGCATACGTTGAATTACAACAGAAGCAATTGGAATTTCTGAAGCACTGCTGTTTACGCAATAGAACAGACAGCGCGTTGCTTACTTTGCATAGAAATAAATCGTTACGTCTACGGCTCTTATACATTGTTCTAGATGCGAGCGTTCACATCCGAGAAGACGCCTACGCTCGGCTGACCGCGCTTTATCTTTGCCGACGATCTTGAAACGCCGTTGAGCTTGAGCATAGTTTGTCTCTATTTTTATTCGATACTCTCTATCTATAGCCATCCGCAAGTACCGATAGAATGTTCTATCGTTGATTAAACAACATTCCAAGCACATTTCACACCTTAGTACAGGGTGAAGCTGAATTAGGCTGGATTGGGCCGGTCAAATCTATCCCTAAACCAAATTACACGTGGGATGAGTCACTCGATAGTTTGTTCAAAAGAAAATTAAACATCATTTCGAGCGAGTGTCACTCTACGAGGTCACAGGTTCGGTTCTCTTCTCCACCAGATTGAGACGGGTTATACCTTCGGTCGAGTCTCAATACGAGGAAACATCCCTGTACATAACAATTATCAATGAGTGAAGTTCATTTTAATTTCTCACAACAGTTATCGATGACAGAAATTTATTTCGATCGCTCATAACAGTTATCAACGAGAGAAGTTCATTTCGAAGGATTATAATCCTTATTTGTAACCAATACGATTTTAGTCGATGAAATACTTGTTAAACCATGATTTTTTTTCTTTTTACTCGTAACAGTCATGGTCTCTGTTTATAAATGGCATCGTTGCGCTTTGTCGTTACAAGGAATGCGAAGTTTGACAACGCGTAGATCGACAAGTGCTGCGAGTACTAGAGAGGTGAGAAGCAAAGGCACCTCGAAAAATGTAACCCAGGCTCCACACTGCGGCGAACACGAACAAGAACATAGTCTAAAAACGTTCGCAAGGGTGATCCTAATGTCGCTAACATGCCAGCGAACATCTACGATGTTCGTACTCCTGTGAAACTGATGTTATTTTATGAATTCGGGCGATCAGCATCCCCTTCATGCTTGGAAATGCTCGAAAGCAAACGGCCGTTTACGATCACCCGTCGACAAATACTCCAAAGGTTAATATGCGTAACCGTAATTAATATTAGTTCCTTAATATTCATCCAAGTTTTTATGCTTTTTTTGTTGTACCTTGATGAAAATATATGCAATATATTGGCGAGATTTTTCTGATAAAAATTGTATCAAGCACGACGCAATTCAGACAATTTGGAATTTCGCTTATGATAAGTAATAGGTATTTTTTTTTATAATATTAACACTTGTTCATACTACCCATTGATGAAGGTACAAACGAAACTATCGATGGTACAATCAAGTACAAACGAAACGCTATTATTTTCCATAAAAAAAATGAATTTTTGAAAAGTCAGGTATCAGGTCCACATAGCTACAAAAGTTACCTAGGTTTTCCATAGGGCCTAATTATCTCCTGGCAAGAATTTTACAATCTGTTTCCTGTTTTCGAACAGACTTTCTAATCGGTTACTGGCTCACAAAATCAAGTATTAATATTATACAAATATTGCATATTGTAAACGAAACTTGAAGTTGCCTGAATTGCATCGTGTTTGGTGCCATTTTTATCAGGAAAATCTTGCCAATATATTGCATATACTTTCATCAAAATACAACAAAAAATATACAAATTTGAATGAGTAATAAGAAAATAATGTTAGCTTTGGTCACGCATATTATCCCTTCGGAGTATGTACCTACCTGCGGGTGGTCATAAAGACCAGGCCCACTGTTGGAAGAATAGCAATGCCCAAGCTCCGAGGGTTTGAAAAGGGACAAGAACGAGGAAAAAGGTGATGTTATTTGCGAATGTGTTCGCCGGATCCACCACCTCGTGGATCGCTGAATTTGGTTCGCGAACACAGCTTTCGCCTAACCCAGCGGGGCTACTTTACGCCTATTAAGAGGGTCATTTGTTAGCGAACTCTGCTATTTCCCGTCTACACTACGGCGAAAACCGGTGAATAACAGGGTTAGCTACCATTTTCACGAATGATGTACGCGACCAGCGTACACCACAGTGTGGACCCGGGGTGAAAAGTACAGGGATGTCCCTCCATATTGAGACTTGACCGAAGGTATAACCCATCTTAATCTGATGGAGAAGAGAACCGAACCTGTGGCCTCGTAGAGTGACACTCGCTCGAAATGATATTTAATTTTCTTTTGAATAAACTATCGAGTGACTCATCCCACGTGTAATTTGGTTTAGGGATAGATTTGACCGGCCCAATCCAGCCTAATTCAGCTTCACCCTGTACTAAGGTGTAAAATGTGTTTGGAATGTTGTTTATAATAATCCAAAATCACAATATCATAATCCATTCCTTGTCTCGAGGTAAACAACCTCTTATTATGTCTCCTTCTAATCATCCCTCGTTTTTATCAAGTTACTTAATAGAGTTTAAACTCTTTAATTATCGAAATAAATAAGTCGCAAATATTGCCTCAGGCAACAAGCGAATCGACCCTCGGAACACACGAGTTTGACAAACCAGATCTAAATTATTTCATGCGACATTCACGCAAGGGCCCCGTGACATGTATCCACGTGCCCCGACAAAGCTGTAATTTATACGCCCACGCAATCACCGTTCGACAAAGGATCGGGCTCGACAACCCCAGCGGGATTTCGTTTTCAAGTGCGTATCGGTAATAGCACTCTCGTAGACCGTTTTTAATCATCCCGCGATCGTCGATGACACTTTTAAGTGGTGCGCGCTTTAAACGAGACCCGGCTCGAAAGCGCTCGAGATTAAGTAGTCGGGATGCGCTCGATTTCCGGAGATTTCAGCGTGTTTTTGCCGCGTGCGAATTTCGTTCGCTTTACAATTGGGTCAACGAGAGGCGAGATGTCGAGTGTCGATTTAACTTAAGGGGACATTTCACTGTGAACGCACAAGAAAAAGCATATTTTCAATAATTTTTTTCTCAGGAAATATTGCATAAAATTGAATGAATGTTTTTTCCCCTTAAAGGTATGATTAAGGAAAGTAAATGAAAAAAAATTTTTTTGTAAAATATATTTCGTCGTTTATTTACAAAATAATATGCATGTGTGAAAAAAAAAGTTTATCGCTGGCGCAGGTAATTTTGGCTCTCCTGGTAATCTGAAACAGAAAATCGAAAAAATTTATTAAACTATGTCGTCATATCTATGGTCGGAACCTCCACTTATTTTTTTCATCGAAAATAAACAAAATGGCAGCGTTTCTTGTGAAAGAGAGCAAAAAAACACTTTTTTTTGTACCGTAAATCAGGTGAAATTGTAAATAAAAATCAAAATATCAACTACTTGGAGGTTCCGACGATAGGTGTGACGACATAGTTTAATAAACTTTTTCGACTTTCTGTTTCAGATTACCAGGAGAGCCAAAATCACCTGCGCCAACGGTAAACTTTTTTTTGCACACATGCATATTATTTCGTAAACAAATGACGAAATATTTTTTACCAAAAAAAAAATTGTTATTTACTTTCCTTAATCATACCTTTAAGGGGGAAAATATTCATTCAATTTCATGCAATAGTTCTTGAGACAAAAATGATTGAAAATATGCTTTTTTTGTGCGTTCACAGTGAAATGCCCCCTTAAAAAAAATTGAATTTGAAGTAGATATATTATCACTAAACCTACTGGTATTTTATTGGTCTTACAGAGACCTTTCTCAACCGAATAAAAAAATATTTAAACTTATTATCAGATTGAATAATACATGGAACAATTGTGTATGATTGATATATTTTATATAAGAAACTACGGAAAAATTTGATCTTTGACTTGATAGATTTAGTGTTAAAATTAAATATAATTAGGCTACTCTATGTAAGACATAGTATAAGAGAAAGCAAAAGCTTGACTTTCAGTTGCTGTTCTTTAATGTCCTTCAAGTTTAGATGTGCGATTGGTCTCCTATTTTTTTCTTTTTCACGTACTATTTTTTATGTCGCACATCTTTTCTTGGAGCTGAGTACTCTACGAGGAAAATTTGATGAAACGTTCGATCGGAACAGATGTTTGACAAGAACTGGCACAAAATTAACGTCGGTATCATCAGGGACAAAGTGATGGTCTACGTCGACTGCGAGCACGCTGGAGCGTTAGCTGCGAAGCCTCGAGGACCAATTAAAGTGGATGGCGATATCTCGATATCGAAGATGTTTCACAGCAAACTCACCATACCCGTAAGTCCCATCAACCACCTCTGACCCAAAGTTTTACCAGAATAATGACTCTCTAATAAATTGTATAGGATTCTTTTACCATGAAGACTGTATAAGGAGATCCAACTCCATACGAAAGTTACTAGAAAACTGTTATCAAAATCCCGAGCTTTAAGTTACGAATATTTCTACCACTCGCTATGTGTCGTAGTCTGTGCGCACTAGCACCGCGAGTTGTAGAAATATTCATAACTTCAAGCTCGGGATTTTGATAACACTTCTACACTACACAGTTGGAACTCCTTATACAGTCTTCATGCTTTTTACTATACAAGTACAAAAAAAGAACTTCTGTTAGCTATCAAATAGTACCAATCGGTACCAGTGCATACATATGTCGTTTTCTTATGTAATCGCGTGATCGTGTTTCACAAAACGTTTTAATGAAGATTCCTAGAATGTCGAGACTTCAATATCTTCAAAGTCGGCGAAGATCAATGGGAACTGGGAACAAGTTCGAGCACGCGAATTTCGTGGAAGTCCGTGACACATGGGGGATGCTCGCGTTTCATCGCGAGACAAGTGCGCCGGACGCATGCCGCAATTAAGAAACACTTAATTAATAAACACTTTGCAATGAACGAGGCTAAAGACTTAACTGGGACAAGCTAGATTTAGTGCTACACTCAAAGTGTAAGAGAGTCTAGAAAAACGTGTGGACGATATTGTTAGCCCAGTTTCGCGAGTAGGCGAGGGAAACTAAATTTAGACGGGAATTGAACATAATAACGTAGCGATGAGCCACTGGGCTTCCTGATGACATCTCGAAGGGACGTACAGTTTCTAATAAAATTATTAAAAACGTTTAATCGCGTCACAAGTTGAGACGAGTGCATTTGAGGGCTGCACTTGATTCAAATGAAAGATACAAGCCTCCGAACCAGTAATGAGATTTTCCGGTCTTTCATTGTTCTCACTTCTGATTCTCTGGTAATTTCTATTTGCTTTACAACGTTCCTCTAGGTCGATATACAGTGGATGGTCTTGAATTGCGATCCTACGAAACCTGAGAGGGAGACCTGCGAGGAACTGCCGGTAAGTCCATATATTTTATGCAAGCTCGCAATCCATTACGACCCCGCGGTTGTAATTAACGCAATTGCAGAAGAGCCTTAGCAGCCCTTTATTGCCCCAGAGGCGACCAGGCTGCGAAGTTATCTGTCCGCAGGGGCCTCCTGGAATGAATGGAACAAATGTGAGTCGTGGTTTCGTTTTATGCACAAACGGGCCTGTTTAGTGGAAGAATTCGTATTTTTAAAACGATCTTCAATTTTATATAATTTTATCTAGAGCCAACTTAAAGGTTTACCAGAAGTATTTTTCTTATTCGAAAAAATGATCTTCTATGAAGAACAAAATTTTAATTTTCAACTAACGGATCCGAATACTGGCTGTTCCGTTCGACGGCGTCGAATCGAGGCAAGGAACAATTACGGGAAGGCCAACGAAATTTGGGACACATGTAGTTGTAAAGCAAGGCTATTTTTTAGAGTCTTGTTGGTATTGCCGAAAATATCGATTCAGTCGGGGTCGTCGACGAGACCTTTAGGATTTCGTTCGTTTTCGTCCTCAATAGCCGTTATTGTACTAAACTTGGAAACTCAATGGTGATGCACGCCTGTGCAACATAAGGGCCCCACTTGACGAAAGTGCCGACTTTCGCTGAGCCTCACGGCACAGGTCATGCTGTCACCATGTGGGTCCTTTACGTATCAAAAACCAGCGACCACTCACTCACCCTTTTCTCGATAACGTTTCGAAGACGTTACAAAGAGGGTGGATGTGAGCCTGAAAACACGCTAATTGGGCCTCGTACGTTTTTGTTCGAATCAGTCGGGCAAAGTTAATTCGGTGCGCGACGTTCCCCATTCGTAGCGTCACTAAAAACGGGTCTTATGAAAATCACCGACACAAACACCGACACGGTTTTCACTAACAACATTTCACCGACTCCAAATTTGGCCGACAATAACTTTGGCCGACAACGCCTTTAACCGAAAACGACTTTAGTCGACAACGATTTTGACCGACAACGAATTTAACTGACAATGAATTTGTTCGGCAACGATTTTGATCGACAACGATTTTAGCTAACGACAGTAATAATCAACAGTAACACGATTTACAACGATATGCATTTGATATTTACTAACAAGGATGTACTATTTCATTGATTATGTACTTTTTCTGGATATAGTGAATGGGAGGATAGATTTACGAAGAAACGCAGTGAAACCAAACCGAACAAAATGTGTTTGAATATTATTGATACGTACAGTTGCACGCAAACGTTTCCGGCCAAAAATAATTTTTGAATTAAATTATGTATAATAGGTGTAAAGTAGAAATACAAACATATCATAGTAAAGAGCTTTTATTATACTATCGAAATGTACAATTCAAAAATTTGATACAAGTAATAATTATTTATAACAAAAATAACAATTTTTACTTCTTCATAAGTATCTGGCCATGTACAAAACATGAAGAAAGAACACGATAACTGAAGGAAAAATGTTCAAAAATGGTTACAAATGTAACATTATCGTCAATATTTAGTAACCATACCCTGTGAAGCTATCACGGCGGCACATCGGTCAGGCATCGATTCAATAAGTTTGATGATTCTATCTTGAGAGATATTTCTCCACTCCTCTTGAATTTTTGTCCATAAAGCAGCTTTATTGGTACAACTAACAGTTCCTATTCTTAGTTTAAGCTCCTGCCATAAATGTTCTATCGGATTCAAGTCTAGAGATTGACTCGGTCAATCTAGAATTCGGATCTTATTCTTCGTGAAAAAGTCCTGAAGCAA